CTACGTCTCTCTCTCTCTCTCTCTCTCTCTCTCTCTCTCTCTCTCTCTCTCTCTCTCTCTTTTCACATTATACATATACATGCCCTAATCTCTCTCTCATAATCTCATTCCACATTATGCATTCCCTGATCTCTCTCTATCTCTCTCCACTTCTCAATACACATTATTTATTTGTCTTGGCATATGACCATGGTGATGATGGGTGCTTGTTTTTGGTCTAAAGGTGTGAATTAGAGCTCTTGTAAACTAGTTGGTGTAAAAAAATTTATGAGTATGTGGAGAAAAGTTAGCTGACTTGATAGTGGGGTGGTACCCATCACCTTGTGCTATTGAAATGCGTATCACTAGGGCTACTAAGGTTTGTCATAGCTGAGTGTAACAGTTGATAACATAAGATTTTGTTAGAACTTATTATTTGATTTTTCACACTTTGTAAGATTGCCTCTCTCTCTCTCTCTCTCTCTCCTTGTTTAATTGAAATGCATATCACTAGGTTTAGTAATTTGAGCCCTAATAAAAGGATAAACTTATGTCAACTCAACTAAAACACTCCCTAAGTTGATATTCTGCCATTTTCCCCACATTGATAAAATAGGAAAGGGCGCGGCCTCGGCCGCTCTGAAACACCATGCACCTGCTTAAAAACCCATTTCTTCTTGGATTAAGGACCTAAAAATCTTTCAATAGACCTGCAACTTCAGGCCCCAAAAGTTGGATTTGGAGCTCTTAAAAATATCAGAGCTGACTGATTTGGGACCTATTGCAATGAATGGTCCAAGCCATATATTGAGATAGCGTTCAAGATGGAATAATTTTGAGGCTCCAAATTTAATTATCATAATCTTGATCTTGGAGGGCTGAAGGATGATATGTGAAACTTTTGATCCTCAATACATCCTTCTAATGGATTATTTGGGGTCACATAGAGTTTTGGTGTGTCGGGGTATTGGTGTAAATGTGTCTGATCTGGCCTTGGTTGATCTCAACCAGCACCCGACTCTATAAGTCTTGTCCGGCTTGGTTTAGATAAAATAACATATATTGTAATATATTATAAATTATTAAATACTTATAAATATGTGTATGTTATATGTATATACTCAAGTACAGTCGGGTTGTGTTGACCCTGACCCTTACCCAACCAGATAATATAAGGGATAGACCTAGACTACCTGGATGCAGGTTTGGACCTGACCCTTGGTCCAGACTCAAACCCAATTCATATCAACTCGTCTATTTACTGGGCCTCATTGACACCACTAGTGCCCCATTGATATCCCCCATGGGGGTAACCAGACCCTAAATTTTAAGGAAAAGTATAGAATACTACCATTTATCTTTTGTACAAAAAAGTCACAATTATTAGTGGCCCTTAAATTTAAAATCGGACGTTTAAGGATGTGATATTGACCAAGCTCAAAGTTTAAAAGGAAATTACTCAATCTTCGCGGCACATTCTACGCCTTAGGATTTGACATCTAACAATTTAAAGTGATTGAGACCTTGTACCAAAGGAAACTGGTTCTATATTATACAATCCCAAAACTTAATCCCCTTATGAAAGTTAATTGTAATGGAGCATATGGATTCTCACAGTCTAACAATTAACTCTGAGAGACATTAAGAGAAGGAAAAGTATAGAATGAGATCATTTAACTTTGGTGCAAGGAGGTCATAATTAATTTTGATCATTGGATGTGAAATTAGATGGATGAATTTATTCCATTGACCAAGCTCAAATTTTAAAATAAATTTTTTCGAACTTTGTGACACCGAAACTATCATATTTCACTTCGCGTGGTTGTAAGTACTTGTGAACTCCTTGTATCAATGGTAAATGGTTTTATTGTATAGAATCCCTTGAGAGAATATGAAATCATATGACAATATGTTCCATATTGTGATCTGTTACTGCATAATTTATGGGGAAAAGTTTATATAGAGCCGAGGCTTTAAACCATCAAATTAGAGTCTACCTCAAAAAATTCACTAGAAGAGGTTGTTTTGATGCCCAAATATCCTCAAATTGATCATCTCAACATCAAGATGCATGGTCATGAGAAAAAAATCGATTCAAGTTTTGGAAAAGGTGTATTTTGTAACGCATTTTTGGACCATCAATTTTCAAGATTTTTAATTTTTCATAGATCTATTGATCTACACTATTTTTGAAGCTTTAAATTTTATAAATAAGATTAAAATATATATTAAGGCTATGACAATGATTTTTCAGTATTGAAACCACATTTCTCGATACTATTTGAAGGTAGGCTCTCATTAGATTGTTTAGAGCCTAGGTCAATACATCTCGAGTTTCTTAGTAGAAAAAGTTTGAAATGAGGTGACTGATTCATTAATGGCACAATTATGATATAGCCTAGCTAGTTCTTGCCATGGCACTATTCCTCATGATATTTTGGGAAGAATTGATGAATAGAAATGGAAAATTATTGTTTTGTTTATGTTTAAAAGTTCCCCTATTATGCTTCTTATATTTTTGCCTGTATGAATTATCTAGTTCTAATATTGATTTTATGTAGGGATGGCAATGGACCGAGACCCGACCTAAACTGAGGGTAGAACCAGTCTGGGTCAAAATCTTGCTCCCAAACTATTTGGGTCCGGGTCCGGCCAACCCGACTCGTCGCCACCTTTATTTTTATGTGGCTCAAAGTTTGTTTCAACTATTGATTTTTGTTGGCCCAATTGTTTGCTGTATGGACCTACCAAAAGAAAAAGGTTGCATTACGACCAATAAGTCTCCTGCAATCATGTCGTTTCCCATTCGTGTTACGTCAACTTTGATCAAAACAATTTGAATATTAACATTGTGCTGTCATAAATGAAACCATTCAATTGTCTTCATCAAAGTTCTCTTTCTAGAGTAGTTTTCATTGGATTATTTGCAATAAAAAAATAAAAAAATGGAAGATCTCAATTGAGGTTAGTCTAATAGCTTGCAAAAGTCGCACATCATATTCATGTTTACAGAGATCAACAGGTATCACAAAAACATTTTCTCATAACAACTATTTTATATGTTAAGGATTGTGAGTGTAAAGGGACTTTAATAAGCAAACCATGGTAGCAAATTAGCAGTCTTATTCTCCCAAATATAAGCATGTTTATTACTATCGAGATGGAAAACACTAATAAATAAGCACTCAAAATTGTGATATTTTTTTCTCTTGTTCTTACAAAGTTGCATATTGTATAACCCAGACTGCATACACAAAGGCCTTGCAGAATTAGATGATTCCTAAAGTAGTAATCTACATATAGATTTATAAATTTGGATGTCATAATCTCTCTACAAACCGGCCAAAACCTTTTCTTTTTTGGCCCAAAATTTTGTCAATGCTTCCAAAATTCCAATTATCAGTCATTTTTATCAACAAAAAAATAAAAGAAAAAGCTTATATAAGGTGTCAACCTTATATTGTACGGGTAAGGTGCACCTAAAAAACCCACTAGAGAAGGTTGTTCCTATGGTGGAAAACTCTCAAATTGATCATCTTGACCTCGAGATTTATAGAAATGAACCTCCCTCAACATTTCCCACCAATGTCAAACCTTGCAGCAGTGCAGAGCTTTGGATAATTGGCATTGCAAATACCCACTAGGATTGAGGCTATAAGATTATGTCATTGTCATATCTAATTAGACCTCCAAGACATATGTGACCCGTGTTCCCCTTAGGCCTGCAATCAAAATTGAGTTTGGTTTTTTCTAGAAACTCAGCCGGCTCAATTTGGAACCGACCGTTAGATCGGAATCGGGAACTGGCTAGTTTCGATTTTATTAGTTTTGGTGATCCGACCGGTATTTAAAAAAAAATATATATATATATATATAATCTCAAAAAATAAAAGATTTGCTTGTAATGCGTTTTTTAATTATTATTATTATTATTATTTATCATTTTGGCAAAGATTGGAAAGTCTTTTGGCCATGAATATTTATTTTTATATTTTTTTATCTTTCTTTAAAAAAAGTAAAAATACTATTGGGTACAAATCAATTTTTTAAAATCTATTTTTTTACTAATTTCTGACTTCCTTTGGATGTGTTTTGTTTAATCATATTTTATATATACTTTTCAGATTTTTATAGATTTGTTTTTATTTTTTTAACACTTTTTTGACCGGTTGGGACTTGCCCACTTAAGCCAGTTGAACCGGCCGATTTACCGATGACTTGGAACCGGCCTCTGCCGGTTCAATTTTTAGAACACTGGCTTTTTTCATTTAGGAGCAGTAACCAATTATTTGATAGACTTCTTCTCTTTAGTCGAAGTGAGACTACATCCTAGATGTTGCTTACCAGATTATTCCTTAGATGTACCTGAGCATTCTTTTGCAACTGAGGCCTATTCAACCGTTGTTATCAATATGATAGATCATAGGAAACCTTAGTACGGCTGACATTTCATTTAAGATGAGCATGGACAAAATATATACTCTATGATCATTTAGTTCTTAAGAGAGAGAGTGTGTAGGGAAAGGGGCTGCGGTTGTGGTGCTAGCACCCCCACATTCATGTCACCACTTGTGAATTCTAAACTATTTAAAAA